CTTGCTTGATCGTTTTCAGTCGTATCATTTTATAATTTGGTAGCACCCTAGAGATTAAAGTGGACTGTATGTTTCATGTGGTTTATATGCATAGGTCTACGCTTTGCTCATATCATCAACAACTTGTGTATGACATATCTACAAAGTGAAAGTGCAGGGTGTGTGAAGTATTTACCAGTTGCGCCGGTTGCATGTCTAACCATATTTAACATTGTGTTGGTAAAATCTGTGAGTTGCATCCGGGTAGGACCGGGATGGATGGGATGCTCATTAGGGGGGAACGGGGGTGGATGCATGACAGTGGGGAAGCACGCAGGTTCTCCCTAGCCTAGCCCTAGTTGCAGCTTGAGAATCCCTGCCTCCCTGGATGGGATAGGCCCTAGCTGCATTAGCCTCCTACATCCACAATAGCATCTGCTAAACACGTGTATGTGACAAATTCAATTTGATTTGATGTCTGCATAGGGACTACACCTATTTAAAAACAAGGGATTATTGACTCTTCTCCATCATCCTGTCCCACGTCAAACTATATTGGTACCGCTACCTGTTCACACAACATGCTAGCAACATTAGCAATAATCTTACAAGCTTATTTTTCAGAGTGACTGGTGCACCCTGCTCTCACTGTTTGGGGAGTAAGCCCTGCAGTTAACGTTACAAGATATTCTTTGTGTGTTGCAGGTATTTTTACTATACTAGTTGGTGCATGTCAAACAATATAATATGGATAGTTAATAAGGATAAGGACATGTAAATGAAAATAAGCTAAGAGTTATGGGCTATACCGGTATGCCTACAGAAGAGCCGGCAATGGTCCTTAGTCAAAAGGATTCGGACGCTGCCTGCTATGTGGAGTGCTGTTCAAGATGAGTATCTATTGCAGCCCCAGAGACAAGTTTTAACAGTTGTGTTTGTGTCTGCATCCCAAATGGCACCCTATTCCCTACATAGTGCACTACTTGCCATTTTTGATGGAATGTTGCCTTCCCCAGGGAATATTTCCTTCCCTTTATTGCAGCAAATAAATTATACCTCATTTCAACAAACAAACTCTATCACAAACGTAGGGATTATTCATCACGCCTCAAACAACTGTTTCCTGAATCATCATGATGATGATGTTTAATTGTCACATAAACTGGATAAGCGCAGTGAAATGTGTTGTTTTACAGGGTCAGCCATAGTAGTACGATGTCCCTGAAGCAAATTAGGGTTAAGTGCCTTGCTCAAGGGCTCATCGACAGATTGTTCACCTTGTCGGTTCGGGTATTCAAACCTGTACCGTTCAGTTACTGGCCCAACACTCTAACAGCTAGGCTACCTGCCACCCTGGACATGGACACAATGAAGTTATAATTCAACTGCTACATAATGGAATGATTGTTGTAAAACTCAAATTCCATAACACATGCGTAACGACAGTTTACTACACAGGTAGTACATCTCTGCAAGCTTACATGTAATGTACATTGTATTGTAGATGCACGTCCAAACTAAAAACGGTGACGTTTTTTCATACTGTCATTGTGGTTACATATTTGTAAGCAAAGTTAATAGCCTTAAAAGGATCGAGGCCTGTAGCAATAGCCATCACCATCTCAGTATGAATAGGGCCCCCACCGATGAGACAAACTAACAGTGTTTGATGTTCTGAGGAGTACCTTCAGTTTAACACCTTAAGAATGTCTAACACATTTTTCAAAATTGCCACTAGAGTGGTGTGATCTCACAGCTGTTGAAAGACACAGCCATTGGATGGCACTCAAACAACAACTGGGATCAAAGGGAAGAACAGACTGATACCTGTATCTATCCTCTGCTCACTTTGTTCATGTGCTGTACGTGCTGATATAAAGGTATGTGAGTGAGAACATCGTTTACTTTGAGTCACACTCAATAGGAACTAGATTCAACATAACTGACACTTTCTCTATTTTGTCATGCTATGATTTTCATTTCTCTGTGTAAAGACTCAGTCCTTCATCTGGGGCATATTCAGTTTCACTGAGGTACAATGAATCATAATTTATTGGCAAGCTGTGGGAAGCACCACCACCTATCATCACTATTGTATGTCATGGTAGCAAAAATATGATGCCCTCCTGTGTGAAGCAGTGTGAAGAACGATCAATGAAAGTGAGAATAAAAGACTTGAGCAGACGTAAAAAATGCAGATCTTACAATCCTCATGAGGTATTGTCCCCTGTAGAGCATGGTGCTTGCAACGCCAGGGTTGTGGGTTCATTTCCCACGGGGGGCCAGTATGAAAAATGTATGCACTCACTAACTGTAAGTCGCTCTGGATAAGAGCGTCTGCTAAATGACTAAAGTAAAAATGTATTGCTTTATTGCTACGCTACTGCAGCAACTCTCATGATATTTTGAGTTACACACTGCATAAAAGTGTCAAAAAAAGTTGTAACAGTGATTTGCGCAATCTTGTTTTTTAGTTTGAATAACAGTAATAATTATCTTGGTTACAGCTGGGCCGACTTCCTAAAATTGAGAAAATCCTTTAGGGCACGGTTTTAATCGTTTAATTACAATGGCGTGTGCTAACAACACAAGACGATAACAAGCAGAGCGAGAGGGCTGCTTTCCTGGCAGTGCTATGCTGACTTTTTTATTATCACACAGGGAATAGTTAAGATATATAATTATAAGTTGCATGTGTGGGCTAACTTGAGTTGGTCTGAAAAAACAACATATGATGATCTACGTATGACATCAATATGAAAGGAGAGGTGCAGAAGAGGTGCAGTTCTTTTGAGTCCTTAGAGATTAGCAGTCAAGCATAGCGTTAACCTCCTTGTTTTGTTCCTTACTCTGTTGTCAATGTTCAGCGTGCATCACTTCAATCAAACAGAGTCGTCAGAGAGGCTCCTCAGTGGTGATCGTCAGTGTTTAAATCAACACACTCATCATTAAACTGGTAAAAGTGTAGCTTATGGAATAGTTATTTCAGATATATATATAGATTTTTTTTACACCATCTCAAATTCAAAAGATTTTTAATGTGCTCTTGTAAGGTTTGTGTGAAAGTGAGAGATATAAAGAGAGAAATTCTATGCGACATGAACGGTAGAAAGAAAGAAAAAGGTTCAGTATAATTAACTGGCTGTGTTGCAGTGTTGTGGAAAATATGTAGCAGATTATGCAGTAACAGTATTTTTGGCTTGACAAAATCTGTCTGCCTTTTATCTGTCTCCAGGCTTCAAAAGCACAACAAAAACCCACAGACATCCGACATGCAGGAGGCGCTGTGTTACTTAACTTGTTTATTTTGTCTGCTGTCACAAGAGAAGAGAAACGGGAGAAGACAGAGAAAAAACCCACAAACACAAAATATGAAACCTTTTTTATTCTAGCATATTGAAGACAAGACAAACAATGGGTTACTTTGTTGCTGTTGAATATAACGAGAGGCGAGTCTCTCTTTCTGTGAAGAAAAGGCGGCATGTTAGTTTTGCAGATAAGTGATCCGTGTCCTCCTGCCAAACCTAAACAAATTCCATTTCAGACAGCTCACCTCCATGGCTCGTCCTAATCTCCTCTTCTATCTCCACCACAGTCACTTGACGTTTGGAGAGGAGGAAGGAGGGCTTTGCTTGGGGAGGATTCAAGGCATTTGTGGTTATTGGAATTCACACAGCATCACGTTTCACCCAAATGAAACTACACTAGCCAGGGTGGGCTAGGGTTAGAATGATTGGGTGGCAGAGGCCTTTCATTTTGATAAAGGTAATATGTGAGGATGTTTTTTTTCTCAGCAAAAGGATGACATCATCACACATCCAGAAACCCTGCATATCAAACAAAGGTCTACAATTATTATGAGGGAGTTTTCACTTAGAAATGGTAAAAGTCCATGAACTTTACTGGCAAGTCAATTTCAACAGCCATTGTTGACTTTTATGGCATGCCACCATATTTATTATCATATTCAATATGGTCATTACACTCCTGATATACTGTAAGTATGTTTGTAGGTATAGGTGAAAGTGTTGTTGGGTGTTTATAAATGTTGTTGTAGACTAATTGGGCACTAAAATAGCCCATGGATAGAGACATTTTACATGGAGTCTTGAATGCACAGTATGATCATGGAAATGTCCATGTGTTGAAAAAAATCCCTTGAGACGTCTTGTTTATTTTCCTCTGACCCTATTGGGCAAATAATAATTGACGTGGCACCTGAGTGAATTATCTGGAGAGAAAAAATAAGCAAAGAGGGAAAGTCTTGGAGAGAAAAAGTGACTGAACATAGTTGGCAAAGTGAAAGGTACGACACAAAAAGCTTTATTCCCTCTCTCTGGAATGGCAGTAGACCGGCAAGGAGAGACCGGGAGAGAGAAAGAAAGAGAGTTCACTTCATAGTGTAACCTGCCTTGATGTCTGGCACCATTTAATAGTATCTTAAGGCAAGATTTTCCAATTATGGTTGGTAAGCAGAAAATATGACTCATTGGATTCAGTTACTTAGTTACAATACTTTGCATTGTGTGGTAGTGGGTGAAATGATTCCAGGCTGAAATATCTGATGAATCTTGCAATTAGCACTGCTCTCCTCAAAGAGCATTTGTTATTGAGGAATACGAACACAGTGCAACAGTTTGGGACTAGCTTGATTCTAAGTACATTCTGCCAGCACACTTTATCCCACTTTATTTTACTGGGCACTTGTTTAGTGCTCACTATTAATCAGCCAGGTTAATTTAACTACATCTGGCTCTCCTTGGTGTATCATTGATTCATAGTAGGCCTGTGTTCAAAGCATAATCCTAAATGCCAACTTGGTATTCATTCATTCAACTGTGTTCATTCCAAAATCAGACCTTAAAAGTGGTCTAATATCGGTAGTCCAACCGTGTCCCATGCCATCTTCTGTTAAGATCCAGCTATGCCGTCTATTTGAAGGAAAAATGTCTCATGGGTTTTCTCTCTCATGTATCTTATAGATTCCTGACAACCAGAGAGTGGATCCCCTGGGATCATGGATGGACTTTGTCAAACGACCCGTAGACAACTTCCCTGGGAAGTGCCGCAAACGCAAAAGGCCACTGGTAAATATAACAATGGCTTCAGTAGTGGTTCAAATAAGCTAGCTGATCAAGCGCTGGTCTGTTCATTACATTGGTCACGAAGCATCTAGTACGATACATAAGTAGAATATTGACCGTTTTAATATTGAAACAACTTTCTGTGTCAAATCATGTGTACATTAGATGTATGATGAGCCTATATTATTATGTAATGTGTTATTATTTCCTGGTCTTTGTCAGCCAGGGCCACCAGGTCCTCCTGGTCCTCCAGGCCCCCAGGGGCCTCCTGGATCCCCCGGGGCAGAGGTCACCCAGGAGGTCCTCCTCCAGGAGTTCAAAGAGATGATAAAAGGTAACATCATATAAAGTCATAAAATGTCAGATAAAAGACACAACATGTTATAAAGTCTGATCTGGTCCTTCGCTGAGTATAAAAAGACACGTTGATTCCAAAACATTGGTGATTGATCAACTGCTACTGGTGATGGATCATTGTTTCAGTGAAGGCTGAAGTATTTCATTAGTAACTGACCATCCGAGGTAGATACCGGATCTGAGTGACAGTAAACTCACTACTCTATTGCTGTACTGTAGTACTCAGAGAAAGTTGTTCCTATAGTTCAAAGTCAAGTCCATGTTCTTCTCATCTTTCTAGTTGAGATTCCCATATTCCTTCTGTGTTTTCACCAGAAGCTACAGAGAGGAGAGCTGCTGCAGTGGACAGGCAGACCAGTACCAGTCCTAGTCAGATACCCATGGCCCTCATGGCCCTGGAAGGAATGACCTCTTACAGGAGGATAGAGGAAGCCTTCCACTGTAAACTCATAGGACCTGTGGTTGTCGACAAGAAGACACTGATGGAGCTCCAGAACTTTCAGACGGTACGTTTTGGAGGAACAATTGAGACGTTTGTGGAGAATGTAGAAGTTTGTGAAGTATTTGGTCACCTCCTTGACCGTCTTCTTTATCCTCTTGTCTTACTCAACATTAAGCCCTCTATTTATCTCACCTTCACTTTTCTTTCTTTCTATTTTCTTTCTTTTAACTTTGTTTTCACCGTAGGTTTTAAGTTTTAACCAGCAGTGATTCTGGTTATATCCCCCTGATATATAAGAATGAAGCCAGGAATAATTAGGGATCACCCCTTCCCTAAAGTCTGACAAAGCAATACCATGCTTTGAGTTTAGACTGGCTTCTTAGTCCTTAGTAAAACAATATCTATTTTTGCAATGCTCCACATTACTTTCTGGGTGGTATACAAAAGGCACTCTGTCTGTGACTTGGAATATGGTGCGGAGAGGACAAACATTGGCACTGTTTGAAACGGCATGATGTAGTGGAAGAACTATGCCAAGGGACATTCTGAGGCGGGAGGTTAAGAGTAGACCAATCAAATCAAATGTATTCATCACATAGACAGGTTACAGCAGGTATAAAATAACTAAATCCATCAAAATAACATTTTTTATGAAAATATGTCAAAACCGTGCCAATATATCCTCCAAATAAAGGCTTCGAGGGCATTATCACTTTTATACAACGGGTTACCAACAAATCCAAATAATGATTGACATATTTTTATAAAAAACTTTCTTTTGATGAATTTATTCATACTATTTCATCCTTCCACAAGATATAGTCCCGACACAAATCTAGGGTTGCTACCCAAGCCGGCTGGTCGTTCGTTCTATCGGTTCGGTTGCCAGAGACGCGACCCAGTCGTTCAGTCTTTTTGTTCTGTATCTATGGACGCGACCCAGTCGTTCATTCTAAATGTTCCATTGCCATACTGACTGGCAACGTTCTTATCCCTTGTTTGCTAGCTAGCCAACTACGGCTAGTTTACGGTCATTTCAAAAAGTGCAGCCAGAATAAAAGCAAAGTAGCTGCATTTGCATTTGTTTAAGCTGTTTTCTATTGACATTTATTTGGATCCATCCATAACAATGAGCTAATGAGGCGCGATTTCGCCTGGCATAGAAAATGTGCTCACTCATCAAGACACTGTTTTTCAGAGGAGCTAGCCAACAACACAGCTAACACAATCACTTCAAACTGAAGCTGGAAAGACTGCAAACTAGCTGCAATTTGTTTCTTTTTACCTTTTTTCAATTGACATTTCTTTGTATATATCCATAAAAATTATGCCAGCTGATTCATGATTTCGACTGGCTGAGAAACGCTGCCTGCCTGCCTGTCTGTCTGTCTCGTCCTGACTCCCCACATGTTCATTACTATGGGACAGCTGGAGATCGAATTTGAATATTGAAACAATGTTGCAAATGTCGGAGAGACAGAAAGCAAGGTTTATACAAATCTCCACTGTTGAAAACAAAAGTTTAGTCTAAAAGAAATGTGAGATAATGTCTAGATGCTTTTTATAGTGGAAATCAAGTTTATAAAGTGCCTGGCTGGGCTGATGAGACAGTGGATTGGGCAGTCAGATGGAACAGAGTAAATAGGCATTTTAACGTCATAGATTTAGCCGGTGGTAACTTGTGGAATAGACACGGGTTGGAATGCGGTTTTAACCCATCAGCATTCAGGATTAGAGCCACCCGTTGTATAAATAGTAATAATGGGCTGTGTTACACTGTATTTACAAAAATAAAGTGGGTAGTGACTTGGTCAGGCAGTGGAATAAATAGCTAGTATTCCAATGTCTGTTGGAAATGTTTGGATTGTTTGCTCGGGTGTTCCCTTTGGCAGACATACATATACATTTTGTAGGTCTTCGATTCCCTTTAGCCAGATATCAATTGAGCCCAAATTATCTGTGAGTCATTGTACAACTCCATTCTGCAAGTCACATTGTATTTATCCTTCCAGCCTCCTGCTAAAGGTGCCTTCCTCAGAGGGACAGGAATGGACCAATCCACAGGACGATTCACGGCTCCCGTCACAGGGATCTACCAGCTCTCTGCTAATGTTCATATCGGTAAGGAATGCTTCTCTACCTTAGGGAAACCCAATTATCAGGGAATCATCTTGAGAAATGTATTGATTTGGAAGTTGGATATCAAATATAAAGACAATGCATGAGGGGCATTGAGGCACAATTTATCCAGATATTTTGCTAAAATATTGTACATCTTCAGAGGACTCTGTGACCTTTTCTTTAGAGAGGTGTTTCTTAGCTGGATAATGTATGACCTCAGAGTAACTCTGTTTCCTCCCTGAAGACCACAACGAGGTGAGGAGGAGTAAGAGTCAGCTGAGAGCCAGGGACAATGTGCGAGTGCTGATCTGCATCGAATCCCTGTGCCATCGATATACGTGAGTAGGCCTACCCTCAGTCCCTGTCTATTGATCGTCTACCGTTTATCAACAAATCAGCATGATGAAGTTTGAAAATGCCTCCAATATCTAGTCACCCTATGAAACAAACTCAAATGAGTCCACTCCACACTTTTTCACCTTGGCATAAAGACCATATGGTTCTTATTTGTTACATGGAATGTAGTAAAAACGATCCCTGACAAACAAAGCAATATCATAACGATTCTTTTCTTTCCCCCCATAAGAGTTAGCTAATCTTTTATTGTCTGCCAGGTCAGGCTTTCTGTTGTGTTGTTAAGGCTCATTGAATCCATGCCTGATAACCAGTGTTTAATGCCAGTTTTACTTTTGCTAGTGTTTACGAACTGTTAAAGATGGTGTCTAATATACATTGTGTGGAACCAGTTAGGCATTTCCTGTATTAAAGTGGAACACGTCTTTAAAGGAAATGTCCTCTCACCCCTTCCCCTGGTCCCTGTCGCCTCCAAACTCTTTATAGACTCACCTTTGACACCTGGGACACCATGCTGCTTCCAGCACCACAGGCCAGGGTCGTATTCATTCAGTAAATCGTAGAAAAACATTTAGCTATGAAAAAATTCAAAGCAACATTTCTTATTGGACATTTGGTGCCTATTGAATACGACCCTGAATAGAGAAAAGTTATTTTTGGGATGTGTGAAGGATGCAGAGAACGAACGAGAATATTACACACTAGTTTTTAGATACCAGAATATTACACACTCGTTTGTAGATACCAGAATATTACACACTCGTTTGTAGATACCAGAATATTACACACTCGTTTGTAGATACCAGAATATTACACACTCGTTTGTAGATACCAGAATATTACACATTCATTTTTGCCATTTCTGTTTATATAAAGTAAGCAAAAAATGTTTAAACGAACGGTACCCAATATCTCCAGAATATGTAAAGGCCAACAACCTTGCTTCACAACCTGGTATTATCAAAAAAAAAGTATAAATAATATTGTTATGATGGTTACCTTACCCCAAAATAGTGGGCTCATTGTTGTAGCTTTTCCACCCCAAAGCCTCCAGCCTGTCTGGCTCTCCCACACATGAAAATGCAGAGAATGTAAAATGAGCCTCATTGCGATGGCAGTTAAGTGAAGACAAACATGATTGATTCACCATAAAAATGCAGCGTTTTCCACTAAACAGGAGCCAGTGGTCTCAGCAGGAGTTGTACAACTAGACTCCACGCCTGTAATATTACTGTCTGCACTGCAGACTTCATTAAAGGGTCACTGTAATGATGATGATGATTCAAGACTCAAAATGAAGCAATGACATGTTTATTTAACGTGTACGAAAACACATTTTGCATGAAATAGCATGCAATTACACTATTTTATTTCAGAAAGTGTTAGGCATGTATAGATAAAGTAAAGTTATTTTTAACAAATGTAAAGATCAGGTAACAAGATTATGATTAATTAACATTTGTTGTCTGTTTTCCTCTTCGTTACAGGTCGTTAGAGATGATTGTTGGATTGGAAAGTAACAGCAAGATCTTCACAGTGTATGTGCAAGGGTTGCTGGAGCTACAGGTAGGCTTACATTTATCAAACTGATCATCACAACGCTTGCCATGAAGATTTTCCAATAGGGTCAAAAAGCCTTTAAGAAGTGTTAACAAATACAATTACTTCTTAACACTATAATGGGTTTTAATATCACTATAGCAAAACAAACAGTCATCATATTATTGTATTTAAAATGTTATTGTATCTCCTCAGGTTGGACAGTACACCTCTATATTTGTGGACAATGGTGCTGGGGCATCCATCACAATACAGAATGGCTCTGACTTCATGGGCATGTTGCTGGGTGTATAGCCTCAAGTCCTGCCCTTGGGGCTGGGGGTATTCCTTCCCTCTTCCCATTGGACACCAGGGCCCTGGCCACGCAAGGCATCTGTCTTACCTGTATCTGACTGGACTACTAACAGATGCTATCTGCCAATCCCCATCCATGGAGGTGAAAGCAAAAGGCATGAGCAGCATTTGCAGCCATTGAACTTCTCTACTTGGCGTATCCTGGAAGAACCGTTTTGAAAGCTTAAGGACTGTGTCTCACCACAGACACCATGAAAGCAAGCACTCATATGGGCCAAGAAAGACACTTGTGCATACCAACAGACAATCCTAATAGACAAGACTTCACATCTTCAAATCACTCAATGAACATTTTGAATTTGAGAAAGAAAAAATGTATCACAGATGTATTTTCAATACAGTAATAGCCTGATAGGAAAAATGCTATAATGAATATCATTCATGAAATGTAAAGGTTTTTATCATCTGATGTCAATCTCTTTATTGGAATGGCAGTAGCTAAGAAAGTACCTAGACTCTGTGAGTGTGTATAAACACTGGATGATGCAAAGATGCTCAGTATGCATTGTATGGGCGCCCCAACTTCTCAGCTAGGGTTGCAAAATTCAGAAACATTTAGGAAAATCCAACAAGGGAATTTTGGGAAAGTTACCCGAATTTTGCAACCCTATTCTCAGCAAAGTGACCTCTACTGTATGTTCAATCTAGGGGGACTGTGTGTGTCTCATGTGGAGTCTACAGCCCACTGAACAAAATAGAAGAAACATTGGCCTCTGTATGGAACCATTTTGTGGGATTCAAACCCAAACTAAGGAATGTGGTTAGAGCATTGAAATGAAATGCAAGTTTGTTGGCCATTCTGTTTTATACCGAGTGCCTTCAGAAAGTATTTATACCCTTTGACTTATTCCACATTTTGTTGTGTTACAGCCTGAATTCAAGACGGATTAAATCAACAACAAAAATCTCACCCATCTACACACAATACCCCATAATGACAAAGTGAAAACATGTTTTTAAAAATGTTTGCTAATTTATTGAAAATTAAATACAGAAACATCTGTCAAGCTCTGTCAATTTGGTTGTTGATCATTGCTAGACAGCCATGTTCAGGTCTTGCCATAGGTTGTCAAGCTGATTTAAGTCAAAACTGTAACTAGGCCACTCAGGAACATTCAATGTCGTCTTGGTAACCAACTCCAGTGTATATTTGGCCTTGTGTTTTAGGTTATTGTCCTGCTGAAAGGTGAATTTATCTCCCAGTGTCTGTTGGAATGCAGACTGGATCAGGTTTTCCTCTAGGATTTTGACTGTGCTTAGCTCTATTCAGTTAATTTTTATCCTAAAAAACTCCCTAGTCCTTGCCGATGACAAGCATACCCATAACATGATGCAGCCACCACCATGCTTGAAAATATGAAGAGTGGTACTCAGTGATGTGTTGTGTTGGATTTGCCCCAAACATAACGCTTTGAATTCAGGAAATAAAGTTAATTTCTTTGACAATTATTTTGCAGTTTTACTTTAGTGTTTTATTGCAAACAGGATGCATGTTTTGGAATATTTTGTATTCTGTACAAGCTTCCATTTTTTTCACTGTCATTTAGGTTTGTATTGTGGAGTAGCTACAGTGTTGTTGATCCATCCCCCGTTTTCCCCTCTCACAGCCATTTAACTCTGTAACTGTTTTAAAGTCACAATTGGCCTCATGGTGAAATCCCTGAGCGGTTTCCTTCCTCTCCATCAACTGAGTTAGGAAGGACGCCTGTATATTTGCAGTGACTGGGTGTATTGATACACCATCCAAAGTGTAACTAATAAATTCACCATGCTCAAAGGGATATTCAATGTCTGCTTTAAAAAAAATGGTATCTACCAATAGGTGCCCTTCTTTGCGAGGCATTGGAAAACCTCTCTCATCTTTGTGGTTGAATCTGTGTTTAAAATTCACTGCTCGACTGAGGTACCTTACAGATAATTGTATGTGTGGGGTACAGAAATTAGGTAATCATTCAAAAATCATGTTAAACACTATTATTGCACACAGAGTGAGTCCATGCAACTTATTATGTGACTTGTTAAGCAAATGTCTACTCCTGAATTTAGTCTTGCCATAGCAAAGGGTTGAATACTTATTGACTCAAGACTTTTCAGCTGTTTATTTTTAATTAATTTGTAAACATTTCTAAAAACATAATTCCACTTTGACATTATGGGGTATTGTGTGTAGGCCAGTGACACAATCTCAATTTAATCACTTTTAAATTCAGGCTGTAACACAACAAAATGTGGAAAAAGTCAATGGGTGTGAATACTTTCTGAAGGCACAGTATTTAATATACAGTGTTTCCACGTTACGCTTATGCCAAATGATATAATTGCCACGGTCAATCAGAAAACATGTTGCCTACTGTTTTATAAAATGCCAGTTGTTTCACCAAAAGAGACTGACCATGTTATCTATTCAATTAGAAAATAATCACATTTAGATTTTTGTGGCATGTATAGCTCTACGTTTTTTCCGACCATATAGTTGATGAAGTTGTCTGTAAATTATGATAATATTTCATTAATACATGTTGTTAAGAGTTGAATTTGGACGTACATAGCGTATATGTTAAAATGTATCCACACGTAATAGAAAATTGATATTAATATCTTTTATCACCGTAGGGATCAATTTACAGTTTCAAGACCACCACAGATTGGAGTATCATTATGTTTTATACTGATTTGCTTTTTTAATAGCTAATATGATCAAAATTAAACTAAGGTAAAATATTATGTTATTTCTGTATTTACTCAATACATGTGAGCGCTGCATAAAGCTTGACATTTATATTGGAGAAGGCTACAAGTATCAGCAATCAATGCTTTTTACAGAGAGGATTGCAAGTATTTTTACTGGTCTATAGATGACTTCATCATTAGGAATAGGAGGTCCTCATAGGACCTTACCGTCCAGTTGTTGGGTAGATTAATGCCTTGACCAGTCATATAATGGAGTTATAATGCGGTTCGAAGTCTTTCTTTAAATATATTTTGGGTGGTCTGTGTATCACAAGGCCATAATAAGAAGCTTTTAGCCTCCATTGCACAAATGCCTGTCCAGTCACTTGTATGAGCTTGTCAGCATCAATGCATGAATGCCTTAATAAGAGAGCTCTGCTCATGTAAGCGTTGTTGAGCCCAAAGTGCCAGCCACACACTGTACCCACATAGACCAAACACAAGGACTTTACCTACACCCGTCAAACTACAGTAATCTGCTGATCCATGGGAAAGACCGTTGTAATTCCTCAAGCCCGTACCAGGCCCTTCTACTAATATTTATATTGCATGAGTTTATTGTGTTAGACTAACCACAAACCTATAATTTCTTATACAGGTGAATCAGACATGCCTTCTAGGGATAGATTCAGGCCTTGATTCCTGCATGTTCCTGCATGTGGGCGCAGCTGCAAAAAAATCTGTAAAACCGAATTGTTGCCAGAGATCTGTATATAATGACGAGATGCTCATGTCTCCGCCCTAACAATAGGTCAAGGGGGAGAAGCAGTCGACAAGTTTAGGTCCAAAATAATCCCATAGAAACGTATTGGGTTTATTTTGGACTGATTTTGGAGAGAGTGAAACCTCTCGCTTTGCCTCTTCCTCTCTGGTTTTACAGATTCGGCGATAGAAATGTAAAGGTCATTTCCGATTGCAGTGTTTACAGTGAATGCAGTCTCCACTAAAGCGGGAACATTGCCTTTAAATTTCAATCACGCTATAAAGCTGAACTTCTGTGATGCGGATTGAATAGAGCCCCTAGACCTCAATCAGTTCTGCCTTAACCCGCGATAACCGACAACTGCATAACAGTTTCATTGTTTTTATTTAGGCGATGTCGGAGGTGTACTGGGTTGGAGTTGGAGCTGTCAAATCAGCAAGCGGCTCCTGGCATTATAGGCCTACCTATCACGGACATTCCCATTGGATACGTGGAGTCGCATGAGTTATAGCCTTGTTCAGTGCCGTGTATTCATGGATGCCAAGGGAAGCCAGGCTTCCCAAAAAAAATTGCCAAGAAAAAAAGAAACAAAGTCATTTTTCTTCCATCTCTCTGTGTTTCATAAATGTCCTTTAATTCACAAGAGGCTGAATGTATCTCACCGGAGAAAGCATCCGAGCAAACAAAACAGCGCCCCTCTGTCTCAGTATGTGTAGCGTAGCTATCTGATGCTGTCTGGTCAAAAAGAGTATGACATTGTTGCAACCTTTGCATTGAATGCAAGGGAAGCCAGCGAGCATTTGGTTTCCCTTGATAAAAAATTAATAAAATAATAGCCAATCAGTATTGAGCTAAACTGAGTGAGCTCAGCTGCAAATGGCCCTGGTGCACCAAAAAAAACTGTCAAGGGAAGCCAGTTTGGATTTGGATTCAGACCAATCACATCACATCAGAAGCCAAGTGTCATTGACAGAAAAAAAACTTGAATTGTTGCATCTTGTTGTGTTGTTGTCCTCCAGTGGCTAGCTAGCTAGCTAAAATCATCCCTTTCCTGAATTAGCCATGGATGAGATAAGGATTTGGACTTGTGGTTTTACTTAATTCTCCGTACTGACCAATGATTATAACGGTGATTCTGATCCAACTATAAATTCATATATTGTGCCCCTGGCCTGAGAGGATGGAAGTTAAACATGTAGCTAGATGTATTATGCTAATGTTAACTAGCTAGCCTGGCGTGTAGTTGCCCATGAAAGGAAGTTAGGCTAGCGAGCAAGCATTTTAGCCAGGTAGCTTAGGACAACAACAACTAAAAGTGTGTACTGTATGACAGTCATAGACCGTTTAGGCAACATGAAAGAGGAGGATGGCATTGGCATTTCTCTACAAGTAGGGTGAGTTATCATGTTGTTTTCTACTTGCGGGCACGCACACACACACACACACACACACACACAGAAATCAGCATATTTTAGTTGTCACTGTATTAGACTAAGCACAGGTAATT